GAGGAGGAGGAGGAGGAGGAGGAGGAGGAAGGGGGGTCGCTCCCAGCTCGGGGTTAATGAAGTGGGAAAGGAGTCTTTCAGAGAGGCCTGCAAACAACCCCCCTCCCCGGGCAACAAACCCCCATCCCAAATCCTACATGGATTGACTTAAACCCAGGGGATAAGTGCTTTAAATTAATCTCATTGAATAAGAATGAGGCCAAACAAAACTCTTTAAAATCATATTAAAAATCTATCAAAGGACAACTTGCAGTGGGTGTGCTTTTCATTTTGTGAGCGCAAAGGCAAGGAGCATACAGCAACCTTCCTCCCATTTACACAGCAGGAATGTGAATCAAAGACATTCTCTAATATTTAATTGTGCTTGTAGCCGTAGCAGATTCCTCCTCTTACATTAATGAAGTACAAGGCTTCGTTACACGTTTGTAATTGCAATATTTAAATTTGCCATTTCACATCTGGAAGAAGCTGGAAACTCCTGTCTAACAGGGGGTGTGAGCCAGCGCCGTAACACAGTGACAGGGTCCAGTTTGCTTTCCAAGGACGGTCGGAGAGAGGGGGCAGAGCCCCAAGGAAACCTCCGCTCTGCGAAGGGGGGGAATGGCCGTGCTGGGTCTGGCTGGGAAGGAAAGTGAGCAGAGGGGAAGTGAAGGCTGGAGCCATCTCCTCCAGGGAGAACTCAAGCAAGGGAAGCTTCAAAATAAATCGGTTCAGGGAAGACACCACGTGCTGTAGGCTCTCGTCAGAGAGCACCGCACTTGCCACATGAACAGCACCTTGCGTGGGAGGATTTCAGCAGCCTCAAAAGCTGCTGAAGGACCAGCCTCACCTCCAGCTTGTGTGCGGGGACTGAGTCGGGACCCCGCTGCCCAACAGCAGAACTGACCAGCACGGGTCCTGCACCTACAGCAGCCCCAGACCGGGCCAGAAACTCTACTCATTTCCAGAGGCCAGTGCCAGGCAGGCATGATCCTGGCAAGTCCTCAGGGGCGGGACAGGCTGCGCTGGGTTGAAATTAGATGAAGCAGTAAAAATGGCACGGCTGAGAAGGAGCACCAGTCCCATTAAGGAAACCTTTGGAGTATTGCACCAGTTCTGCTCCACCGATTTCTCCCGGGGTACAGAGACTCCAACAGACAGGCTGCTGGTGGTTGGTTTCTGTCAGCTCCAGACTCTGGATCCAAGACACAAACCAGTTAGTGCAGTGGGTTCGCCAGGACCGAACGCAATCCTGGCGCTCAAGCCCCTTTTGGGCTTTTACGCAGCTGGAGGGCCACCTTCCTCCCCTCCTGACACAGCTTTAACCAGGACCACCACCCTGGGAACAGACAAAGAACGAAAGCTGCTCCTCTGAGTTTGCCAAAACACACAAACCCAATGAAAGCAGCAGAATTGTTTCTAGCTGAGATATTTTACGGTTTCATCTGAACACCAAACAAAATTATGCCAGAATGGAAAGCCCAGAACAATCGATGCTTTTCCTGTCCTCTCCCCAGGCTTGTGGAGAAAATAAATTGTTGTAAACAGGGAAGTTCTGTTGCTTTCTAACCTGCTTAGTTATGGGTGCTTCTCAGTGGTGGGCTACCAGTGCTAAGGTGTCTTGTATTTGACCTAGACACTGAAAGCGGCTGTTCAACCGTGACCCTTGTACCAAGGCGACCTCCTTGCTTTTTCCTATCCCAAAGCCTCAAAGTGTAAACTCAAGATGCTCCAGCTGCGGAGGAGAGGAGGCTCCTATTAGGACACGGAGCCAGAAGCGAGTAGAGAAAAGGTGCAAGAGCACCTCCTGGGAGAGGCAGGACTCCAGGCATGAGAGCAGGGAGCGGAGGAGCAGCAAGGAAGCAAACCCAAACTGAGTCCAGGTCTGACTCACAGGCAGCTTTATATAAAAGCTCCATAGTGCCATTATTTCCAGACCAAACGCAGAAACTTCAAGCTGCAGGGCAGCAAGGCCCCTGCCATTCACCACAAGTAAGATAAGAAAGCAAACCCGACCAAAGCCAACGCTAGTGCAGTCAAACAAAGCTGCAGTTCCGCCGAACGCTGCCGAGAGCCAATCTTCCCGCCCTTACGAGCTGCATAGGCAGCTCCAGCCCAGCCAAGACCCTTGCAGCACACGCCACGTACCTCAGAGCAAGAGGGGGCAAATTCAGGAGCAGTTCAGGGCGACGTCCACCTGCTCCACGCCAGGGCTGTGCCAAGGGAACCCACCGTGACCCCCAGCAGCTCCTCCAGCATTCGGGTGCTCAATCAACCTGGGAGCCTCTGCACCCACAACGCCCCGCTCCAGCTGCAGCTGGTGGAGCTCTGCGGCTCGGCCACCCCTGCTCCACCGCAAGCACCACACCCTGCCCTGCCTCCCCTGCTCCACCGCAAGCACCACACCCTGCCCTGCCTTGATGAAGAGATGCTTTGAGTGGAGTACAAACTAACTCCAAACCTACCAGGTTCTTCCTGAATTAAGTGATGCTCAAGGATAAAGCCAGCTCAGCGCCCATCTAGAGCTGCAGAAGTGTAAATAAGGGCAGAATTTGGTTCCTGCTGACCCAGCTACAATTCAACCACATTTTGCACATTGGCCTTCAAGTTTATTAGGAGCAAACTTGGCTTAGCTTCAGGCGTGTGCGCATTTAACAATTTCTCTTTCTTGTTTAACAATCTCTTCCTCTTCCTTTCCCTACTCACACAAGTAATCCAGAGCCATCTGCTAAAAGATGGTGAAGCTGAAAGAGAAAGGCATTCTATTTTTTCTTTAAATCACATTATCCATCATAACTGTTCGTAACGCTACATGCCCAGTTAATACAGACAGCAATGAGATTTCCTGACGTCTCTCACTGATGCTCTGTTGGCCTTTATTCCTATTATTATGGATTTGCCAATAGTTCCTATTAATTCATACGTGACAGTCAGCCAGGAGAAGGTCATATATTTTCCCCTCATGCACGAGATCAGTTCTTCCCAAACTTACACTCTCTGCATCACTCTCTCTGAGTCATTTTCATCCTCAGGGGTTTCTTTTCTGTTTAAGTTGACATTTGCCTTAAACCCGATTGCTCTTCCAAACAGTACTCATAACAAAATCAGGTGGGCTTTGTTGTTATTTTATCTTAATCTAATAAATGCTAGTAACTTCATTCTCTCTGCAAAAACATGGTTAATTTTATACTGGAGCCTTTTTAACATCTTTCTTAAGTGTTCAAAAAAGTATTGCAGTAAAATCAGCCCGTTCGGTAATTGCTTGGGAGGAAAAAAAAAATCATTTTGGTTCTCAAAAGTTATATTCTCTTCAGAAATTAAATACTTTTGGGCTGATTGCTTCCCTCCTACAGTCCTTAGTATGACTCACTACAGCCCGAAGTAGGTGCCCTCAATTCTGTATTCACAAAGCAGGTATCATTTTCATCTCGTTATACTCCCTCTGCAGTACTTTTTCCCTTCCGGCACCTGAAATTGCCACTGGATTTGAGCACTTGCCGGTCCTGCGTTAAACGACATGCCTGGCTTGGGTCACTGGCGGGCTGCTCTTCCTCATCTCTTTCCTCGAGGAAGACACATGCAGGCAGCAGAAAGTTGTGTTTTGGTAGGGTTTTGCACCGTTTTCAAATGCGTACTGCTTGGCGCTCGCATTATAGGAGGCGCTGGGAGAAGCGCAGCAAGGAAGGCAGGGAGAGGGAGGTGGGTGCTCACCTGTAGGTCCCGCGGGAGTTTGTCAGTCTCCTGCAGGCCTTGGGGAGCAGCCGCTCTCCCCCACGCAGCCCCCACGCCTCGCCAGCTCAAAGGGGAGTTTTGTCACGGACTTCGCTAGAGCTCAGGTTCCATTTCACACGCCGGGCAATGGGAAATGAATGTCTGCCTCGGCACATATGGGGCCGTGCCGCATCCCTTTTCTCAGTAGTCCCAAATTCTCTGATGATCAGCAAGAACAAGAAAAAAGGCAAATGGGAAAAGCAAGAAGCGAAATCCATTCGCTTGGGACGTACTCAAACAGGGCCTAGCCAAAGCAGAGAGAACCCCAAAAGCCAGGTTACCACTGGCAAGTGTTAGCAAGAGCCTGCAAAGGCTTTAATGTTCAGAGAGGTGAGACATTTCATACGTACTCTGCGTTATGTAATTAGGTGTGACAGTACGCTGCAGGCAAGGAGAAGTCTGGAGATTGCTGGATTCCACGCTGGCTCCTTCCCACAGTGACAACGTTTGTTCCCAAACTCAGGAGTTTTGACATGAAGTTTTGTGCCCATGAGCTCTGCCCCAAAGGGACCATGTGTCACTGCACCGAAGAGCTCCCCGCAATCCTACCGCTTGCACTGAAATCGGGGAGGTTCCTTCCAGGCGGCAATATCTGACTAACGATCAGTGTTCAGGGACAGACCTTGCACCCCAGCGCACACAGGACAGGAGAGAAGGTGGCAGCAATGTGGCTGCGTTACCTGAGGCAGGAGCAGAGGTGCCCCCGTGAATAATGCTAGGGGAAAGGGCAGCCTCCCCTCTCCTCTTAAACGTGCTCCTGGACCACCTCCTCTGCCACTACTGTTTATCTGGTAAAAAATAAGCAAACAAACAGATTGTGGAGTGTTTCTACAGGTCTTTTAAACAGGGAAGCATCTCCTGTCTGAGTACACTTGTCTCACTTTCATGTTATATAGACAGCACATTTCTCTGAAAACCGTATTTAACCTTTTTTATTTTTCTTGCAAAAAACACCTTAGAAACGCGGTGCGTCTTCAGGAAGCCACATTTAATTGCAGCAGTGCAACAGGACACGCCTGGATTCGATTCCATTTGGACCTATGGAATGAGGGGGAGGAGGCCAAGATCCCCAAGATCCCTCCCATATTTGCCTGATAAATTGAAACGCTCCTCAGTTGATTTGGCAGGTCACCCTGACCCCCGGCTGAGGTGCTCAAGCAGGTTTTGCAGCCAATGACTGGAAGGTCCCGGCTTATGTTGGAATCTGCTGGTTGCCAGGTTTTCTCTGTTTTTTCTTCCTCTTGACCTTGGATACACCAGTGTCCATCCCACTGGAATATTCAGATCGCAAGATCTCAGCAAGGCGATGTTTGCTGTGGGTCTTCTTGAGAAGGTCAGACCTGGGCAGAGGGAAGAGAAGAGGAATTAGATTTCCTTCTCTCTGAAATGCTGCTAGGTGGGTTACTTATTTTACAGCTGTGGAAAGTGACATTTGCGCATTAGCAGAAGAACAGCTTCCTTTTCTTGAGGCTTGATTTGAAATTCTGTCTCATGCAAAATTAGATATTGTTGTGACAGGTTTTCACAAAGGTGGCAAAATATCATGCCGTTTTTAAAAGCAAGCCTTTGTTCTGTACAAATGCTCTTGCAGGGGTGGCGGGGAGAAGGAGGGAAGGTTGTGCGCTG